CTGTGATAAATTCCAAGTCCAAATGGAATGTACCTGTTCTTGGGTTAACGAAATATAACAAGTGTTCTAAATTGAAACGGTACATAAATATGACACAGATTTTTCAACACCATGCCTTCCTGTGGTTCTCTGGATTTTTTCTTTTTGAGGAAGTCATCAGTGATACATGTAAGAATCCCTCTGCTTATGAGTTCTGGAAGTGAATGAGCTTACCATCATCAGAAAGATTCAACGTGCTCAATCAACTAGCTTTTATCTAAGAAATTATTTTAAACTTCCCGTTTTCCACTTATTTTCTTGATAATCTATTTGATCTCCCCCTCCTTACGTAATTACGATACAGACCTTACTTTTATTTTTTTCTGTATTTTCACTGAACTCATCTTTCCCCCCAAAAAAACCTTTTTTTCCCTTTCGTTTCATGCTTTTGCTTAGATTGTGAGCCCATCAGAGAAGACCAGGCCAGGTAATATATGAAAAAGCAAGGATAATTTAATATATTTATAGCTCTCTTTAACACAGTAATTTCACTATTACTTCCTTGATGTGACTGGCATTTTAAGCACTAACACTAAAGCATCTTGCTACATTTCCATTTTGCTTTTAAAAAGAGCTCTGCGTGACTCTAAAGGTTACATATGACTTGGTCTAGTTTGCATCTTTGTATTTAAGGCAAGGAAACAATGCTGATGAGAGGCAGCACTCACCATCAGCATCCCAGATGATGACTTTGATTTGTTTAGCGGATAAAGCCATTTCTTATAACATCGCATTTTTCAGACACTGCGGGTTGGATCCAAAGGTTCAATTCCACAAAAAGTGGGGTCTCCCCCTGGTGGAAAATATTGTGGAAGAACCTCAGGTTCCAACCCTACCTTTTAAAAATGGTATGAATAACTATTATAGTCAATAGCAAGCATATTCTATTCTGCAAACCTAAATGGAGGCAGCCATTAATGGAAAACCATTTTTCACTGTGTTACCTTGCTCAAAGCAAGTTTGCGCAAACCTATGTTATGGGAAGGAGGAAAATACTGCAGTACCATTTGAGTCTCATTTCTAGAAGGCATATTTAGTGCCACAATAACAGCCAAACAGACATTTGCAGTTTTGAACACAAAAATCTCGATTCTACCAGAAATTCATGGGAATGAATTATTATGCCTGTATCAATGCTTCTGACCTCAGTGCGGGTTTTCTAGGAATATGTTAGCATAATTTAAATAATCTGCTTTAAATCTCTTGATATCTTCCCCCATTTTTACTCTTTCAAAAAGTCTACAAGCATTAAAGTTAGATACTTGCAAACATCTAACCTATCAAGATTACAACTTTTTGTTTTAAAGAACTACCCTTAGATTTAAACTCAGCTCAACAACAGGGAGTCAAACAGACAATTTCTTCATGGTTAGAGAATATTAGGAAATGGAGAACTGCAATGATTTTCAACAGAAAGTACTTCAAATTTACAGGTGCCAGAATAAAAATTTCTGGGAGGCCAGAGGTTTTGCAGCCCTAGCTGTGAATACTTTCATTGACTTACATATAACATCAGCATAATTTCTATCACAATTCAGGACAGAGTTCCATAGCTGGTAGGCACTTAGTATGTGAACCACTGTGTCTGTACGATATGTGAAGAAAGGTTACAGTGGAAAATGTAAATGACATTTGAGGTTAGTGTCACTGGTTAACTGAAATATCTATTTGGCAAGGATTTTTTTTAACTAGCACTCTACCAAAGATAAGCTGATTTACAGCATTTATTGTATAACACATCTTCATTTGTATACAAAGGAATACTTATTGCAACATGGGCTAGCTATGTTTTTCAATAAAAGCAGTACCTGAGTATTCTAACTGATTTCCAGAAATCAGATACAAAATGGGAGACGGTATCTGCATTATTGCTTAGTCTTGCTTTAATTTTGATCTTTCTATTGTTTGTAGAGTGCCACTGTAACCCAACAGTCTGAAATGTGCTGGAAGAGCTCTAATGAAAATGAGACAAAACTTAGAAAATGTTCAAAGCAGTATGACTTTTTGCAAGGTAAGGATGCATTAATGTTTATTCAGTTGCCTAATGTGCATCTCCATCATGCTCAACAGGTATTCTTTTTGGAAGTGGGTGGAATTCAAAGACACAACATTTAACTATGTATATCAATTTGTAGTGAAGTCACCCATCACAGGGGAAAGTGAATTTGAAAAACAAAGCCTAATGACTCCATTTACTGGCTAGTGGTGGTTGTAGGGACCCTAATTATGTGGCAATAGACATGAGCGATGGAAGTAGAAAACTTTCCCTCCTCCTCTGGGAACAAGCTACAAATTTGTGCTAAATCCTTAGTGCAGGGGTGGCCGATCTGCAGCTCAGGAGCTGCATGCGGCTCTTTCACACAGCCTAACAATGTTAATAAAAAGCAAATTTCAATAAAAACGTGCATGTATTATTTGTTCGTGTCTTGTGGCTCTCAAACATTTGACGTTTATTCTGTGTGGCTGTTACGTTAAGCAAGTTTGGCCACCCCTTCCCTAGTGCGTTTCGAGAAAGACAAGAAACTTGTACAGCAGGGGTGCCCAATGCCGGGCCCGTGTGTACCACGGCACCCACCGATACCTTTCTTGGTGCCCCCGAGTGTTTCTAGAAAGTGGGTGCGGCTGGGTGGGGCTCCTACCCAACAGACTGGCCACTGAAGACCTAATCGGCTATGCAGATTGAAAGATTTCAGTGGCAGCTCCCACCACAGTGTTTGTTTCATCCTTCCTCACCCCTGTTTCCCAGTGCATTTTTAATTACCCCTCTTCTCCCCTGTACTTGGGCTTCCTCTGTGTATGTGGCCCTGCCTACTACAGCAGCCATTTTGTGGTTGGTTCTACCTCATGCGGCCAGCTGCTTTGTGGTTGTGCCCCCCACCCTGAGTCAGAGTGCCAAAGGTGCCCACAGGCGCAAAAAGGTTGAGGACCCCTGTCCTAAAGCAAGTCACAGCTTAATGCATGCAGAAGATCATGCAAGCGACTGTGGACCAATGCACAGCTCCGTCATACTCTTCTCTTAAGACTTTTTATTAGTGATATTTATAGCCGAGCCAGGACAAATGTAAACATACAACAGCAGAGCTTGCATCTTTGGTGTCAGCCAGAGCTACCGCCGCCTCTCGGAGTGATTTGTGAAGTTGTCAGGTGGATTAAACAGGACAAAAATAGCTGCAGGCCAAGGAAGGGAAAGGGCTGTCTCTGGGCCAAGGAAACTGAGAGCAGAAGAAAAGAGAGTATAGGGTGAAAAGGGAGAGGAAGAGGGGATTTGGAGGGTGCAGAGGTCAAGTCATGAAGCAGGAGGAAAGTGAAAAGAAAAACAGGTTTCGGAGGACTGAGAAAGGAAAATACAGGAGTGAAATGAAGACTGAAAAGATGGAAGAGGGAAGTTTTGTTTTTTTTAAAGGAAAGGTGGAGTCAGTTGTACGTGGCCAAGTTGGAGAATTTAACTGCTGTGCTAGATCAGGCTAAAGGTCCATCTTGTCCAGCATGTCTCTAACAAGAGTGTCCCAAATTAGGCAGTTTCCCCAATAGGGCAAGATGAAGCAGTCATCCTTCGTTGTATATGCCCACTTTCAGACATACACAAAATGGGAGTCTCCATTTCTAACTGCCATAGGTTGGGGAGAAAATAAGGTGAGAAAAAGGGTCCTGGAGACACTCAAGTAGTCCCGTTAAGCAAAACAAGCTTGCATACAAGGAGGAGGGCAACTTCAGCAAGATCTGTGGGGGGGAATTATACCCTGGCAACTAAAGCTAACCAATGGACAAGTGACTTGTCAGATGCTGTCAAATGAACACCTGTCATTTCACTATGGCCATTCTATCATCATTACTACGGCCATTCTATCATCAAGGGTAGAGCAGCACATGATTCTTCCATGCTTAGCTCTCAGAGCATTACTGACCTCTCATGCTGGGAGGAGCAACTCAGCAACTGTGACTAATATTGGAAGGGGGGATATGTAGTCAATATTGCACATTTTAACGTGCTGTAAGCCCCCTTGAGGACTCCACAATCCAAAACACTTCCGACGGCTCACTTTTTATGTTTGAATATGCTTGTTTTATTCAAGACCACTTTGGCCAACATGGAGAAGCGGTGCAGAAACACAACAAACATTGCAAAATGTTCGGTGAAGCACACAACAAAAAATTGCTTCTTTTGGTAAGCAAGAAAAGCGCCGTGTAGACGTGTCCCTGCCTAGCCAATGCACGCGTCATGCACATGATGGAGCAGGGGCTTCCTTCGACCACGACAGATTATACTGGAACAACCTCTAAAAGTGACACCAGACTCCTGAAGGTGGGAAGTAGAAACCATTGACAGCTGTCAAGTATGGAAGAATATGGCGAAAAATGCAAAAGGAGTTAAAGAGAGAAAGTGGGGGGAGAAACAGGAGATGGGGGGTGCTCCTATGCAACGTCCCCCCCCTTTCACGGCCTCTCAGTAGGGCTGCCACCTCCAGGCTGGGAAATTCCTGGAGATTTTTTTGAGAGGGCAGTGTGATGAGGGGAGGGGCCCTCAGCAGGATCTAATGCCATACAGTGCGCCGTCCAAAGCAACCATTTCCTCCAGGGGAGCTGATCTCTGTCACCTGGAGATCAGTTATCACTCCAGGAGATCTCCAGGCCCCACCTGGGGGTTGGCAGCATACCTCCCAGGCACGCGAAGCTGCCCCTCCCCGAGCCCAAGCAGAGGAGGAGGAGGGGAAGCGGGGAAGGCAGGGGGGTGGTCAGACCTGAGCGCTTGGAGCGGGCCCTCAGCTCCAGCATTTTCCAGCTCACGTCGGCCAAAGAGGACGCCATGGCGGCGGCAACAGCAGCAGCGAGAAGAGCGACAACAAACCTCCAACTTCGCCCCCCCCTCTCCTTTGGACGGCCAACGGTTGCCCCGCTGCGCCGTCAACGCACTAGCTCGCGGCGTCGCAAAACGCCGCGACGCCGTAAAGCGAACCCGGAAGTCGGCGCCCGGGCTGTGACAGGCGTCGCCGGGAGGACTCTATGGTGCCGGGCGGGGGGTCGCCGCCGCCTCCGCCAGGTCAGACCTGAGCGCTTGGAGCGGGCCCTCAGCTCCAGCATTTTCCAGCTCACGTCGGCCAAAGAGGACGCCATGGCGGCGGCAACAGCAGCAGCGAGAAGAGCGACAACAAACCTCCAACTTCGCCCCCCCCTCTCCTTTGGACGGCCAACGGTTGCCCCGCTGCGCCGTCAACGCACTAGCTCGCGGCGTCGCAAAACGCCGCGACGCCGTAAAGCGAACCCGGAAGTCGGCGCCCGGGCTGTGACAGGCGTCGCCGGGAGGACTCTATGGTGCCGGGCGGGGGGTCGCCGCCGCCTCCGCCGCTTCCCGCTGGGCCCGTGAGGGATGGTCGCAGCGGCCGCCGGCCGGGGGGTTCTGGTGGGTGCCGCCGCCGCCGCGCCATGGGGCCTCGCCGCCTGGCTCTCGGAGGGTCCCCCCTCTTCCTTGTCGCCGTCCTCCTCTTCTTCTTCCTGGCGGCGGCGGTGAGGCCGGGCTGGGCCCTGCAGGATGTCACCGCCCAGCTGTTCGGGGACCAGGCCTTCGGGACGGTGGCCGCCTTCGGGGACTTCAACTCCGACAAGCAGACGGACCTCTTCGTGCTGAGGGGAGGTGAGAGGGCCGCGGGAGGCGCTTGGGGTGGGGGGGAGAGGCCTGGGTTCGAATCCTCCACCGTCGCTGCGAAAGAGGCTCTCCCCTCCTTCTCTCTTCCGAGGCTTAGCCCGGTGTGTGAGTGTCGTGGGCATGAAACAGAGGAGAGCCCTGAGAAGATCTTTGGAACATCGTGACGCTGTAGCCTGTCTGCCAAGAATTGCTAGAGCTGTCCCGCCATCTTGGGTCTTGGAGTTTTAGCTGTCACCGAGCACTTTTATGTGAGATAAGGATGGGTTTTTTTAATTGTATAAAATGTTTTATATTGTAGATACACTGTTATTTTGTATTGTTGTTTTACGGCTGCAAGTTTATCTTGCCCTGTAAGCCGCCCTGAGCCCTATGGGGGAGGGCGGGGTATAAATTTGAATAATAAATAAATAAAT